TTAAGAGAGGGTCGGGAGAAGAATTTTCGATTTCAATATCTCAAAAGATAGAGTAAAGTTTGTTCTACAAATAGACCGTTTATTGAGTTCTCAGCTGAGCTCTAAGATTGGCGAGAGTCATAGCAATAACACGAAGCGATGGCAACTGATGCCGGCAAAATTCAAATCCAGCTCTAAATTCAGATCAGTACAAATTTATTCTACAAAGAACAAATAATTCGACAACATCTTGCTATTTAATTCAAGAAATAATATAAAAATCAAAACCGGTTAACTAACGGTCATACAAAATAAACTTAATCAGGCTAAAACATTCACATTAATGAGCGAACCACTCGAGAAGATTATGTTTTTGTTGTTATTCAAATTCTTTCTTCCATGTTCTTCCAGTTACACTCTCCTCTTGTTCTGTTTTCCGCGTCTTGAATAGCATGCAGACATTCTTCTTCTCACTTCTACGTTAATTTTCATCACTGAGAGTTAGAAATTCACGTTACTGTCACGTTTTACGGGAGTGAATTTTTTATAAGGTGTTGTTTGAACTGGCATCAGAAATCAAATGAGAATTTTTATCTATTCTTTGAACTCATGAACAGAGAATAAAATCGTTATAAAAAATAGACTCAAATCTAGCTCTAAATTCACATCGGGTCGGATAAATACGGCATAAAACAGAAAAAAAATGTTTCAGCTTTTGATGTTTCACTGTTTTCAAAAAAACAACCATTGATTGTTCCATTTACAGCAGTTTATGAAGAATTTCATTGGTGCCAGCAGTCAATCATTTAGTTTACTAAACAGTTTATTTTGATTGTTTTACTCGAATAAGAGATGCTATAAAAATACTGATTCGACAGAACGTTTTCTAGAAGGCGATTTTACATGTCGTGGAAGTGTTGATATTTCATGTGAAAAAAATTTTCATCTCTTTTGATATTTTGCTCTTTTATTTATTAATCAAAAGCAGACAACGTAGAAGATGATTAAAACTTTTTCTCTTCACTATAGTTTTATATTTAACAGCCGATATCCTAATGGAGGAAGCAACGGTAAGAAATCTTGTGACTAATATCGACAGATCAAAATTGATAGACGCAGAGAAACATATAAAAACCTTTTTAATCGTGTGGTTAATTGATGAAGTATATTCACAACGAAATGAAAGCGATAACAACTTTGAAGTGTTCATTGGATTACAAAATATTAAGCAACGCGTCTATAAATATCACAGTGTGGAAAAATGTATTGGAAAACTTCAGAAAAAGTCTAATCAAAGCGTTTTTTTGATTATATCACATAATATATCGTTGGATGACGAAGACAACTCGATACTTTACGGCCTTCCTCAAGTCGATTTTATTTATCAATTTGGATCTGAAATGCCTTGGAAAAAGATAAGAGGTGAAGTGGTTGACAATGATAGTCAACAGTCGCCGGAAGAAGAAGCAACATCAATTTCTGAATTGCCATTCAGTGAAATCACAGCTTCGACAGACGATCAAGATATTAAAATGCAAATATTTGTCATGGAACAATTACTTGTCGAGCTCTTGCTTCGTGTTGCGTCCGGAAATGAAGGAAAAAAAGATTTTATTCATTTCTGTCTTGACAAATACCAGTTCAACAACTCGTATATAAATGAAATTCGTGAGTTTGAAAAAGATTATTCTGAAAACAAAGCTATATGGTGGTATACCGGTGAAACATTTGTCTATCACATTCTTAGTAAAACCTTTGGTACAAGCAATCTCAATTTTATATACAAAATTCGGTTTTTTACTTCCGAACTCTACTCAGAATTGAAAGAACTTTATCATTTGCAATTACCGACGTTACTAAAAACACCATTGAACGTATTTCGAGGAGTCTCTATTCCAAAAACCGACTTTGATTGTCTGCGAAGAAGTTTTGGAAAACTTGTTATTACCAATTCGTTTTCGTCCACGAGCACTAAAAAAGAGGTGGCTACTGGTTTTTCTAGCTATAATGTCTCAGCGAAGGACAGTGTTTCAGTTATATTTTGCATGAAAATCAATGTTCAGCAGAACACATCAAAACCAATTGCATCTATAAAAGATCACAGTCAGATGGAAGATGAAGATGAAGTACTATTGTCCATCGGGATTGTGTTTCGTATGATTTCTAGCAGAAAAATTGCGGTAAGCTCACAAATATTCATATGATTTTGCTGACAAATATCATCATTTAGAAAAACAAATGGGAAATTGATTTGGTAAGAGGTACAGAAGAAGAACAGTTTGTGGAAAAATTTCATAGTAATCTGCCAACAGCGGAGACCAATGCATTGATAACTATGCTAGCGTTTCTGGCAACTATAAGTAGTGCTCAAGACTTCGTGAAATACTCCCGACATCTAGCCGCTAAGCTGAATTCGACATATGCAATTCCGAACCACGCAGGGACTGAAGAGAACATATCTGCATCTCATGATCCGATGCCCTCAAAAATATCCATGCCAGTAAGTGCATTGAGGAATGTTGATGATTTCCCTTGATTTCACCCATCAGAGTGAACGAAGGATGGACGTGCGTAATATATTACAGCATAACACAGTTTTCAACTCGTAACATGTTTTTAAACTCGTACGAGTTCAAAACAGCCTCCCCAGCCTCCCCTATACTATATTACAGCATAACACAGTTTTCAACTCGTAACATGTTTTTAAACTCGTACGAGTTCAAACAG